TGTGCGTGCCCCCCGGGCCGTGCGGGACCCCCCGGCCGTGCCCCCAGCCCCGCCAGGCCGGTGCCCTCACCCCTTCTGTCTCCCCCCCCGCCCCGCCCTCCCCCAGAGGTGAAGCTGGGGGGAGGGAATAAGAAACGCTGGTGTTTTGCAGCGAAGAGAACGTCTGGAAGCTGTGCGACCACATCCGGAGCCAGGAGCTACACCCCCTCGAGGAGTTTTACGCCGTTTTCGTCTCCAATGACAGGAGGATGGTGAGTGGCTGTGGGGGGGAGGGGGCAGCCGGGCCTCAGGCCCCAGGCCCAGGGTTTGGGATGTGGTCCCGGCCCCAGGCCCAGCCGGGACACGGGTCAGGCCTTTCTGCTGCAGCCTGGCCTGGGTGCGGGGCCCTCCCACCTGCCTTGGCCTGGGGGCACCCAGACCGCAGCCATGGGGAGTTCTGGCTGCCTGATGCGGGCAGGGCCATGGGAAGAGGCACAGCAGACCTGTGAGTTAATTGTTCCCTCTAATCGGGTTATTATCCAGAACAGTGTCTCCAACTTTATGCTCCTGAAAGAAACTGGATAAAGTTTTCTGGCTGCAGCGCCGATTGAAGGTGGTGAAATTGATAGGTTAGCAAAGAACTAACGAGTTAACCTGAAAGCAATCTTCATTGAAGGCTTTATTCACTTCAGATTTATTCTTTTAAAACTTTCAGGTTCCACTCTGGAAGCAGAAATCAGGGCATGGAGATCAGCCTGTTGTCTGGGTAAGGCATTCTGCTCTCTCAGTAGCTTTGAGTGCATGTTTAGACTCTGTTTAGACTCGTGGGGAAGAAAAGAGCAGTTTCCCACAGCATGTCTCTGTAGTTGATAGCTGCAGGATCAGACATGGGCAGTGTCAGTCATCCTCAGTGTAATAAACACTTTTTTACTGCGAGGCAGAACTGGAGCAGTTTGCCCGGAGAGGCTGTGGAGTCTCCATCCTCAGGTATTCAAAAGCTGCCTGGATGCAGTTCCTTTCACCTGGCTCTTCATGTTCCTGAGGAAAGGAGACTGAGGGGTGACCTCATCAATGTTTACAAATATGTAAGGGGTGAGTGTAAGGAAGATGGAGTTAAGCTTTTTTTCAGTGATGACCAGTGATAGGACAAGGGGCAGTGGGTGCAAACTGGAACAGAGGAGGTTCCATGTAAATAACAGAAAAAATGTCTTTCCTGTGAGAGTGACAGAGCCCTGGAACAGGCTGGCCAGTGAGGTTGTGGAGTCTCCTTCACTGGAGACATTCAAAACCCACCTGGACAATTTCCTGTGTGATGTGCTCTAGGTGATCCTGCTCTGGCAGGGGGGTTGGACTAGGTGATCTTTTGAGGTCCCTTCCAACCCCTAAGATTCTGTGATTCCTGCTTGAGCAGGGGTTTAGACCAAATGACCTCCAGGGGTTCCTTCCAACCTCAACTATTCAATGGTTTTGTATTAATTTATTTATTTCTAATTGTTTTTTTAACAGATTTAGAAAGAGCCTAAACTTTGTGCTTCTTTTTACTGTTCATACTAAACTAACAATGTGACAGTCAGTAAAATCTACAGGTGACAAACCTTGACACTGGCAAGAGTACATAATACATTTGTGAAAATTGCTCTTTGGATATTGTTGAGGCTACCAGATTCATAGAGTTTGAAGTAGAAGTCTGTAATTTTAAGAAGTAGGTGGATGAAGATATCCAAGTAGGCCTGACAGAGAGTAGAGTCAAGACAAAATGGTTACCCTGAAGAAGTATGATATAGTACCCACAGCTGTTTTTTCCCAGCTGTCAAGAACTACTGAAGGAATGTGTCTTACTCTGAAATCTTGTTGGTCTGAGCTGTTAGCTGCTTTTTCAGTTGTGTGCCAGTTTTTCAGCTGCTTTTGGCAGCTAAACACTCAGCACTCAAATTCACAGACTGTGTTACTGCAACAGGTGCAATATCTCATAGTGAAAGAGATCACTAGATAATGTTCAGCTATCATCATATGTTGATGTGAGCATCTATCTAGGACTGGGTTTGAGCCCAAAATGCTTATCCCAATCAATTTTTGTGTTTTGGTGTGGGACATGAGAGAGATTTGCTGTTTTCTGAGGAGCAACCTACACTTCAGTTTAGCTGTCCAGGCTTAAAGGAGGCCACAGAGGAATGGGGAGAATACCAGAGTTCCTTGAAAGGCACAATGGGAGAGACAGGTGTTAGGAAATGGCTCTCCTGGTGCTAGGAATTTTACAGGCTTAATATTTCAAGGGCAGAATGCAGGATTTAAAGAAAGGATCTGTAGCTTCTGCTTTTTTTAGGAAGCTGTTGGTTTTTTTTCACTTCCTTTGGCAGTTTCTCATGAACAGCCTAACTAATGACAATTACCCTTCTACCCAGGACTACCATGTTATTCTACTCCATGTTTCCAGTGGGGAGCAGAACTTCATTTATGATCTCGACACAGTGTTGCCATTTCCATGTCCTTTTGAGCTGTACAGTGTGGAGGCCTTTAGGTCTGATGACAGCCTTCCTCCAGAATTTCACAGGTGATGACATAAAAGATAAAGACCATGCATGTTACTCCATGAAGAAGCTTTTTTGCTATATTCCACTAAAATAAATGCACTGTGTTATAAGAAAAGTAAAGAGCTTTAGAAAAATAAATACCCCTTTTCTTTGCTGGGTAGCTGCTTGGCACAATATGGTTGATTTATGTATTTAATGAAATTAGTGCTCCTTGATGGGAAGAAGGGGCTCTTGGTCTCAGTGACCAGTGCAGTATTGCTTACATGCATCTTTTGATAGAATTTTGCACTATTATTTAGGAAAATCAGGATGATTCGAGCAGATTTGTACTTGAAGACGTTTGCTTCAGACAGGTCTCATATGAAAGATGCAAATGGGAAGTGGCAGAAACCTCCTCCTTCATACCCTTGCATTGAAACTGCAGGTAAGCTGCCAGAGCTCCTTTTTCCTGCTTACAGGGGTTGAATGGCATAGTCCAAGATGCACATGAGAAATAAATATGCTTCTGTGACATGTGTCCAGAAGCATCTGGCACTTTCTTTTTTGAACATGGAAAGTCTATCATGCTTCCACGCTAGACTAGCATATACCAAGCTGGAGCTCAGTCTGGCCAATGTCATAAGGGACAATAAGCAAAGTTTTTACAAATATGTGAGCAATAAAAGAGTCAGGGAGAATTTCCATCCATATTGGATGCAGAGGGAAACACTGCAACCAAGGATGAGGAAAAGGCTGAGATAATGCCTTTCTCCTCTCTGTCTTTAATCGTCAGAGCAGCTTCTCCCACTGTATCCAATCTCCTGAGCTGGAAGATAAGGACAGAGAGCAGAACAAACCCCCATAATCCAGGAGGAAGTAGTTAAGGACCTGCTATGGCACCTGAACATGCACAAGTCTATCGGGCCAGATGGGATTCACCTAAGAGTGCTGGAGAAGCTCACCAAGCCTCTCTCTGCCATTTATCAGTTGTCCTGGTCAACAGGGGAGATCTCAGAGGACTGGAGGGTGGCTAATGGGATGCCCATCTACAAGAAGAGCTGAAGGAGGATCCAGGGAACTACAGGCCTGTCAGCCTTACCTCAGTACTGGGAAAGATCATGGAGAGGCTCATCTTGAGTGAGCTCATACAGCAATTGCAGGTCAGCCAGGGGATCAGGGCCAAGCAGCATGGGTTTATGAAAGAAGGTCTTGCTTAAACAACCTGATCTCTTGCTATGACCATGTGACCCACCTTTTGGATGAGGGGAAGAGTGTGGTATTTGTCTACCTGGACTTCAGTAAGGCCTTTGACACCATCTCTCACAGCATTCTCCTGGAGAAGCTGGCAAACCATGGCATAGACAATTGTCCTTTTCACTGGGTAAAAACTGGCTGGATGGGTGGGCCCAGAGAGTTGTGGTAAATGGGGTCAAATCCAGTTGGTGGCCGGTCAGCAGTGGTGTCCCTCAGGGCCCAGTTCTGGGGCCAGTCTTGTTCAATGTCTGTATCAGTGATCTGGATGAGGGGATTGAGTGCACGCTCAGTAAGGTTGTAGATGACACCAAATTTGGTGGGAATGTTGATCTGCTTGAGGGTAGGAAGGCTCTACAGAGGGATCTGGACAGGCTGGATCGATGGGTCAAGGCCAGTTGTATGAGGTTCAACAAGGCCGAGTGTCAGGTCCTGCATTTCAGACACAACAACCCCAGGCAGCTCTGCAGGCTTGGGGAAGAGTGGCTGGAGAGCTGCCCAGCAGAAAAGGACCTGGGGGTGCTGGTTGACACTTGGCTGAATGTGAGCCAGCAGCATGGCCAGGTGGGCAAGGAGGCCAAGAGTATCCTGGCCTTTGTATCAGGAATAGTGTGGCTATCAGGATTAAAGTGATTGTGCCCCTGTACTTGGTACTGGTGAGGCTGCACATCGAGTGCTGTGTTCAGTTCTGGGCACTTCATTACAAGACATTGACTTGTTGGAGCATGTCCAGAGAAGAGCAACCAAGCTGATGAAGTCTTGAGAGAACAGGCCCTATGAGGAGAGGCTGAGGGTATTGGGCTTGTTTAGTTCAGAGAAGGCTGAGAGAGGAGACTTCATTACTCTCCACCTGAAAGGAGGTTGTAGTGAGGTTGGCTTTGGCCTCTTGTCCCAAGTGAATAACAGTAGGACCCAAGGAAATGGCCTGAAGTTGTGCCACAGGAGGTTTAGACTAGGTATTCAGAATAATTTCTTTACTGAAAGAGTGGTCAGGCACTGGAACAGGCTGCCCAAGGACGTGGTGGTCACCATCCCTGGAGGTATTCAAGAAATATGCAGATGAGGCACTTCAAGGCATGCTTTTGTGGGCCTGGTGGGTTTTTTTGGGGTTGTGTGTTGTTGGTTTTGTGGGGTTTTTCTTTTGTCATTTGGGTGGGATGTTTTGTTGCCTTATCCTCCCTGGGTGGACAGTTGGACGAGGTGATCTTAGAGGTCTTTTCCAACTGTGACAATTCTGTGATTATCAAACATTAAGTACTGATTTTCATAAACTGAGCAGAGAATAAGAGACAAGTAATACCTCTTGCTACAGCAGGGAATTGAAGCAAAGAGGCCGAATAATTTGCTTAGGGTCACAAAGTGAAATTTTAACACAGGGCTTACACCACACTTTAGCTGGCAGGTCCATCCTGCTGGAAAACCTTATTTTGACAGGAGGAAGATTTTGGGCTTTGCTCAGCATGCTGGGTTTGCCTGCATGAGGTGTTTGAGGTTACTCTACCAGATGAATGGACCGGAGGACACTTTAAAGCAAACTGGGAAGTCAGCAAATTTTTCTCTGAGCCTTAAGCCTCTTTAAGTGCTTTTCTAGATAACAGCCTCTGAACTAAGCAGAGAAGGAAAGACTTTCCATCTTTTCCGTAGAGCTGCTTAAACAGTTTCTTATCACACAGCATTTGAGCTCATTCTAATCATGTGCTTGGCAAGCTGCCTAGCATTTGCCCTGTGTGTGTGTTCTTTTATTTCCAAGTGGAGAAAACTGTTGTGAAATTCTGCTTTGAAAGTTTTTTCATGTTATTGCTGTGCATGTTTTGTCTATTGCTCTTTAATAACACAGTACTGCTATTTATGTTAGAGAAAGCAGGGTCAGAGAAACATGTTTTGTGTTTACATCCAAGTTTCTTGTGGTTTCAAGTTGCTGGGCAGTTAATTCTTCATCTTTGCTTTGGCTTCTAAGGAAGGTTGGTGTCTCACACTACCAGAAAAATTAATTATGAATGTAGGCAGGAGTACAGGAGTAATCTTCATGGTGAAGCTTTAGGTGTTTTCTAGACAATTCAGGTTATGAAGCACTGTAAATTCTATGTCTTGGTCCTTATCTCCAGTAGTTTTATACGAAGTAGTGTAGTGAGTGGAGGATGCCTGAACTGCAGTTCATGGTTTGCTGTTAGCTGGAGCTTCCTGTGTGCTGAGGACGCTTTTTGCCTGGGAAAACCTTACTGTTGTGATAGTTGAAAGCTCATTAATGTGAGTAGTGTAGGTAAGGCCAGACCAGGAAGATAAAAAAAAGTTACAGAATGAGAGTTGCAGATGTGTAACATTTACATTCAGCTGTAGGAAATGACTCCATAGCTGCAAACCCTGTAACTCTCCCTTACCTGTTTTGCTAGCTTGAGCTTTACCTCACTGATAAGCAGCAGCCATGTGGTCTCAACCAGCCTCCAGATTGGGTCTGTGATGTTGGTAGATACTGAAAGATACATAGATCTTCATTCCTCCTATGCTTTATTTCTTTGCTCTGTACCTTGCCATGCTGACAGAAGCATCCATAGGTCACCTAGTCCAACACCTGCTCAAAATAGGCATTTCTTAGGGCTCTGTCCAGTATAGTCTTGAACACCTTCAGGGATAGAGATTCCACCACCTTTCTGGGCAGCCTGTTTCAATATTTAACCACTGTCATGGTAACAAAATAAAAATAAAATCCTAGTATGTAATGAGAACTTCTTATGTTCCAATTTGCTTTCTTTGCTTCTTGTTTTGTTGCCAGACTCCTCCAAGAAGGCTCTAGCTCCATATTTGTGTGTTCTGATCATGTAGATGTAGATAGCAGTAAGGTCTCCCCTTCATCTTTTATGTTTAAGATACAATGCTTCCAGCCTCTCCTTGAATATTATGTTCTTCTGCCCCAGAAGGCTTGATGTTCCTCTTCTGGGCTCACTCTAGTGTGTCAGTTTTTTGGGGGGTTGTCTTTTTTTTTTGTATTGAGAGTCTCCAAACTGGACACCACAGTATTCTAGCTCTTTGCTGATGTGCTCCGGACTCCTGGTCAGCTGGCTGAAAGACACTGGTTACCCTGTACCCACTGAAAGTGGAAGGTCATTCACTAGGTAGTTTCAAGATCTGCATCAGGACAGGAGTAGATTGTATCAGATCTAGGATGTCTAGTCCAAGCTGTCTTTCATTCACTACCAGTTTTTCCAGCTTTCTTTTTTAGTCTTCCTTGTATTCACTCAAGGTATCTTAAAATGATGTGTCCTCAGGGTGCACAATGCTGTCAGTCAGTCTGGGATTAACTGTTTTGGAACAAGCATCTGCATTAACTTGCAGCTGAATCTGAAGTCCTGTTCTTCAGTGTGCAGTTCTGTCGATGAGCACATCTTGCAGGCAACATACAGGTTTAGAAAGCATTGCTGTCAACAAGTAGAACTGGAATTCTCTTTGAGAGACTGGTAAAGTACTGTCTCAGCACAGTTTTATCAGGCATAAAAGTGCCTTATATTAAACTTGATGGAAAACTGGGTGGCAGGCCTTTTGCTATCATACAGGAGCGTGGGGTATTAATGTTCATGTCCATGCCAAATTCCATTGCAGATAACTGTTTTCTCCCTGCAGTTCCACTCAGATAGAGTGTGCTGCTTTCAGTGTTACTTTGTGTTTGCTTAAGATTAAATTGCCTACATATATCATGTGTAGAGGCGACTGCAATTCAATGGCTGACAGAATTGACCAGATACTGGTTTAGTATCAATGTATTTGTGAGGCACGTTTACATCACAGCCTTGGTATTGTTACTCTTATTATTTTTCTGTCATTCAGAATAGCCACATTCCCAAGTTTTTGAGTAAAAGACTACAAAAGCATACAAGGTTTTTATATTACTTCTCTTTGCTATATGTCTTCTTTGATGTTAAACAAATGTTTGAAGACTGAAAAACTAAAATAAAAATGGATCAATGTTTGTTTTTTTTTTATATGTGAACATTGTGCTGTTAAAAAAAGTCCTCATGAGCTCTTGGTATTTAAAGATAACCAGCACTCTGATACTATTTTGTGGATACAGTTTGCTAGGTGTTACATCATATTACACTGTTAAATCTTACATAAACTGCACTTCTTATCCCACTTAGTTTTAAAGTTTTTAGTAAACTTGTAAAGACAATATTTGCCCTCCATACTAAAATGCTGCCTGTT